AAGCCTCCAGAATTACTCATATATACTCAAAATAAATGTCCATTCCAAATCTAACCAAAACGTCGTTCCAAACTAACATTTTCCGCTCAAAAAACCATTTTAAGCCAAAAAACGAGGAAAATGCCTCGAATCCTTCAAGTCATGAACTTCCCATTTTCTAACATAGTCGTGCCCCAATCAGAAAATCCTATGAGCATCTAAATTAGATACTCTATTGAATGAAAACAAAATGGAACCTTCAAAATCTGGCCCTTTCGTACTGTATTTGACAAGCACTGTATTTGAGGCCCGTGTCCTACTGGTTTTTACCTCAGTTTTTATCAATTGACCGAATGCAATAATTCACATATAATTGAATAGAGCATTGAAAGGTACATCTAGTGGCATGCTTTTGTATCAGCATCGGTTGATATTAGTTGCACAAAAAAAAATTTAATTTTGTGAAAATAGCTGGAAGATGGGTCTTGGTTCTCCTACTTTTCACAAATCAACCTTCTTGGATTTAAAGAAGAGTTTTAGACGGTTAGGAGAAAAGAGTTTTTTCTCTACTAATATCAGCTGATGCAGATACAAAAGCGTGCCACTAGATGTAACTTTCGATGCTCTATTCAATCATATGTGAATTACTGCATTTGGTCAATTGATAAAAACTGAGGTAAACACCAGTAGAACACGGCGCTCAATTACAGTGCTTGTTATAAAACGCGTGTAAAATCATGAAAAACCATCGCAAAGAGCTCGGCGACGTCTCATTTTGTAGAAAAATGTTTGCTCTACACCTGCAATATTTTGCCAGCTAAAACAGTACGCAGACCCTCTGGTGAAGACGGTTTTCTAGGAGACCCCTCTGTAGAAATCCGTTTTCAAACTCAAGGGTCAAATTTTGAAGGTTCGGTTTTGTTTTTATTCAATAGAGCGTCTAAAACTGTAGATGCTCATGGGATTTTCTGATTGGAGCACGACTTGTTACAAAATGGGAAGTCCATGACTTGAAGGATTAGAGGCATTTTCCTCGTTTTTTGGCTTAAAACGGCTCTTTGAGCGGAAAATGTTACGGGGATAGGAGAGAAAAGTTTTCGAAAAAATCGAAAGTGACTCGACCAAGCTAGAGATACGTCGTTTTGTTTATTAAGTTCTCTACCTTACCTTATCTTACTATTACTTGTGTTGTCATATTCTAGCTTACCTTACTCTACCTTAACGTTTATGTCGTCAGTCCCAGTTAAAATGGCTTTTTTCTGACTTCTCAGAGAAAGAGTATTTTCTCTGCTCTTGACTTTTGAATGAATAATAGAAGGATAGCTAGTTTTATTTCACAACGATCTATATAATGCTTGATCTAATCTCTTACTTTTTTTTCATTTTGAAAAATGTGAAAATATTCACAGTAGTTTTACTATTCAGCTATTCCGTCAACTGATTTGTTACATTCAAAACTTTTTATCAATAGAAAGTTTCAAAGTAGTTTTACTATTGAGCTGTTTAATGAAGCCTTTAAAGGATTTTTTGTATTTTTATGCACACACATCACAGAAATTACCGGTCATGAACGCTTTAAAAAATCGTTAACTATATTTTGAAGTTACATAAATAATTTTTACTTTTTGTCTTAGAAAAACCCAAACCAACATTGGATCAATTCATTTTGATGATGTTTCCCTACAATATTGTCAAATCAAGTTGGACAAGTCGATATCCCGGTCGTGCTGGTGATTACAAACATAATCAATTCACACCGGTTCAAAAATACACAGCAGATAAACGTCGAAAATGCCTTGAACGTTTAGTGCACGATGAATTAGTGTCATCACAAATCAAAGGCATCCTCCAATTGTGCGACAAAAATAACAAGTTAAAACAAACAGTTTCTGGCCATTATCGTTTAATGCCGCCAAAAGATTCCGTTAAACGTCAAAAATTTAAAAGTAATTTGGCCAAACGAGAAATTGACGACTACATTCAGAAAAGAAAAAAATCTCTTCGTTTACCATCAAATTACTTGCCCACACAAGCCTTGAGCAATTTCTAGACCGACGAAACTGATGAACAGTATGAAAAAGAACATTCATTTTATTTTCCAAAAAAACAATAATAACAATGTATGTATAGAGGTGTGTGCGTATCTGTTGTTTCTCTTGTACGACCTATCAGTTTTTTTTCTTCAGTGTTTCTCCTTTTATGAAACAGTACAATTGCTTCTGACAATAAAATAAAATGAAAATATATAAAGAAGCGGCACATCTCTTCATAACAAACAACCGCACTACATTCAAAATACATTGACAAGAATTCTGAAAGCTGTTAATAGGTCTATTTTAAAATTGATCTCTGAATGGACTTTTATTCAACATGTAATCGATCCAATCTTGTTTTGACATATAGTTACATGACTTTTCTCCGCCAGACAGCTCTTGCCACATTTTGCTAAATTCTATATCTAACGTTTTCAGGTCATAATCATAAAGTTTTCCGATTTTGTAAAATAAGCGTTGGATCGAATCTTTGAAAGCTGATGTTGCTATTGGACAATCACGTCTTGATAAATATTCGATTCGTTTCATGACACATGCATCTTTGCAGATAATAACAAAAATATCGAGAGAATCCAAAAAACCGATATGTCCTGAAAGATAAAACAATAGTGTTGAATAGTGGGCTATTTGTGCGTAGAATCAGAGGTGCAACATCCTTAGTACTAAATTCCCATTGACTTGATTTGAAAAAACCCTCGTATCGCTGACTTGACTTGAAAAGCCTCTAGCTTGCTCAACTCTGCTTTTTGGTGATATAAAACTCTTGGAAACTCATGACTCTTGAGGAACACTCACATAAACCTCTTACGATCTACTGAATGAGGCCACTGGCATATAAAGTAAGGTCCTCTCTTTAAAATGAGACATTCCATAGCTGTGTAATGTTGTTTACACGAGGTCGTAGAAAAGTAATCTCTTTTCTTTGAAAGACGAAACGAAACCACACGAGTCAATTGAGTCCCATTTTTGACTCAAGGATCAAATTCTAGTTAATTGAGACAATTTGAGAGACAAATCAGTAATAAAAACTATCACTACCTCGTCAAGTAAAACAAAAAACAACGTCTTTCATTTCACGTTTGCTTTTTAAGAAGATTCTAGACTCGCGCCGAGAATCTTAGCAATATTCTGCACCTTTACATAGAACCTATGACGATCTCAATCAGAATGTCAATCATCAGAGATAGGAACAATACTTTTGTGTACTTATAAAGACGTTATAAAGACGTCTAACATTGTAACGCCACATTTGTTTATATGCCATAAAACTCATTCGATGAAATGGTTTGAGCTCTACGTAATGGCATATATCTTTGCTCGCCCAATAATAGTAAAATAGTGAGATTACTTGTATTTAAAGGACTTGTACTTGACAGTTATTTTCCGCTATTTTACTATTATTGGGCGAGCAAAGATATA